GCTGAAAACGAACGCCCCAAGGGCGAACAACTGCGACTGCGGTCGCGGCCATGTTCAGCAATTGGGACGGGCCTGGATTTGCCCCAGGAGACAACGACAGGAGGTTTCTTTTTAGGAGGATGAGGGGCAGGCTTAGCAGGCACAGAAAAGTGATCACTGTCAGCAGTGTCCTCAGATGAATCAGGGTGAGGCCGTTTTTGGGACTCAACCACCAAATCCATCTCACTGTCCGACCGCCCAGCGAGAATACCCTGACCAATGTACTCAGTAATTTGACCATCATCCAATAAATTTTGGGAGGAATCGTTATTACTAATTACACTTTCATTATTAATATTTCCATGATTAAGACTAATATCACTTTCATTTGTATTAATTACTTTTCCTTTATCATTATGTGTATTTCCATTATTAAGACTAATATCACTATCATATGTATTAATGACTTTCTCTTTATGTTCTTTCTTTTTATTTAGACCAACTTTAGTTTTAAGTTTATCTAATAAACCAGTGCTACCTTCCTTGGCAGCACCATCAACATTAGGTAAACTACTAACAGGGGTATCCCGGGGAACGGGGGAAATAAGACCAGAGTCAACGGTTGCCCCATCCAAGGAGTCAAAGTCAGAACTGGAGGGGGCAGGGGGAAAAAGGAGGGGTTGGCTCGAAAGCTCATCCAACTGGTTATCACGATGGTCAAAAGATAACGACGCAGGTGACCGCCTGGGAATACCCCGTGTTGTAGGCTTCTTCTTTTCATTTATTTTTCGTGGAGTTTTTTCATCATTTTTGCTCTTTTATCCCTAGCTGGGATGTACCTCCACTGTCAGTTCCAAAGTTACGCCGAATTATTCTTCGAAGTAATCAAGGTGTGGGGTATTTGTTTTCACAATAATATAGCTTGGACATAGAACGCGCGTTGGTTCGAGAGCGCGCGGTAATGTTCCATTTTTGTTCTGTGACGCTTGTGACATCACTTTTTTCAAATCACAGCTTCCACAAGTCTACGTTCGCCTTTAAGTGCAACTACAGGCCGAGAAAACGGCTGCGAACGCCATACAAACAAGCCAAAAGGCCAAATACAACACAAGACCGAGTCCGTTAGCATTTGTTATTAAAAGCTCGACAGTTTAAATTAAATGCTGAAACCAGCGCCGTGCAGTACAGACAAATGAGCGAAAAGGCGAGTTAAATATACACAAGCGAACAACTTCTGAATCAAATCTATGAGAGAAGTGTACTCACCGTATAGACCGATGTTTATGATCCTGCTTGCTTGCTTGCTTTTAAACCGTCCACCATAATCCTCTTTCTTGAAAAGATACATCTCTGGCGACTTTCACTTCATTTTTGAGAGAGTAAAACATTTCAGTCTCTACTCTGCTCTACTGAGCTGCTTTTTAAATAACATGCTAGCTTAGCTAGAAATCCACTTATATTCCATGATAATTTACCTTCTTTCTTGGTCCCCGGAGACTTTTCTTCTTCTCTTTCCACGCTCTCTCTCTCTCTCTCTCTCTGTGGGATTTATCGATCGATCACCTGTATGTAAAACAATCACGCGCAAACGTTACGAGTTGTATCATTGACGCGCGCTTTTTTAAATAACCTGTGGACCATGCTAAATACAAACATTACTACAAAACCGGGGACTAGCGCAAACGCAGGTCCGCACTACCAGAAATTATACCCTCGAGTTACCCACATTTAAGGTAATCGCAAGGGTCAACCCAATCGAAGTGCAATGAGAGGGCCTCACCTTGAGACGACTGCCTCCTTGATCACAGTGCCTCCGCGTCACGTAAGTTTTTTTGTATTTGAGGTGAATGGTCGGCCCCTTGTAGGGTGGTGCAATGCCGCCAGACTTAACGTCTAGTACCAAACACACATCAAACGGGGCAGTGCACCAGCACAGAAACTGACTGGGGTAATTGAACCCCCGCCCCTACATACACAGTACAAGACAAACATATACAGGACAAAAGAACAAGTTAAAAGCGCGGGCATTGCCTAAAACTAATACTGGAACTAAAAACACACGCACTCGGAACCACTCCAAAGGGAGGAAACTAAAAACTAAACTGAAACTAGACTTGCAATAAACTAAAAACGAACACAAACAGTCCGGAGACACACTCTCTCAAGCAAGAAGGAGACCTAGTACAACCAACAAAGGCGACGAAGAACCCATAGACACACTCACGTAGGGTAGAAGGAAACCCAGTACAGCCAGCAAAGGCGACCAAGAAATCCAAGGACACACACACTCAAAAAAAAGAAAATTCCCAGCCACCGACGACTAAGAGAAGCAAGACACACTCACTCAAGCAAAAGGGAACCCAGTACAACCAACAAAGGCGACCAAGAAACCAAGAGACACACTCACTCAAAAACGGAGACCCAGTACAACCACCAAAGGTGACCGAGAGACCGTAGACTCACTCACTCAAGCTAAAGACGAAAGTAAAATAAACCCTCTGACACTCTCCCAACTACACCACTAGCTCCCCACTGTCTGTGAAAATACCGCTGGCGACGAGATGACCCGAACCTTTTAAAGAGAATACAAAGGTGGCACTTTGTGCGGGCCTTAATAACCTCAATCACAGGAAGAGCCCCAGGCTGAACATCGCAGAACCGGTAGTCATTACGCGCCCTCCACAGGAAATACTTGACCAGATTCAGCAGGTAAACAAAAACACGAGGAACCACAGCAAGTTCAGATGCAGAGAAGCCAAAGAGAACATGACGACACAACAGGGAGGGACATAGAGATGAAGCACAAAACATGAGAGATTAAATCCAGCCAAGAACGCTCTGAGCCAGAGCACTCTCAAAAAAAAGGTGAGACGGAGTCTCAGGAGAGCCACAAAAACAGTTTGGGTCGTAGTCGTACCCAAAGGAAATCAGGCGATCGGCAGTGTACAAGACACCATGAACTACCTGCCAAGCCACATCAATGACAGCCCTGTCAACAGGGCAGAAACCAGGCTGCCTCCAAGTGGCGGACCAGTATAATGAACCGTACAGGGGGAGGAACGTCTCCTCACAATGCGGGGGAACAAAGTTAGCCGACAGCAAATACAGATAAGCCGACTTGGCAGTCATGGCAGAAGCCAAAGCGAACTGATGAGGGTCCGACAAGGGCCGCTCGAGATCGAGAGAAAGAACCATCAACTGCACGCCAAGCCAACAGCAAAGACTGATAAAACGGGGGGAGAGCACGAGGGCTAAAAGCAAAAGGCCGAGAGAACACTTCCACAGGGGAGGAGTTAAAGACAGTAAAGAAGCAGAAATGCACAAACACAGACCAGCTGGATTGTGTTGTAACGAACCTCCTGACCCACTGAACTAACAAAGACTGAACTTTTAACTTACCGTCAACAACAGAAAAACCTCTAACAGAAGGAGCCTGAGCAACTACCGAGCGCAATACAAGATCCTTTTTGTCCTTCCAGAAGAAGCTGAAGACAAGTCTCAGAAGCTCACCAAAGACCCAAGGGGGCATGCAAATGAGGGAAGCCACATACCACACCTGGGACAGAGCTAAGGCATTGATCACAAGGGCACGGCCATGAAAGGACAAGATACGCTAGCACCAAGAGAGGAGAATGTTCCCTACAGCCGCAATGCGGGGCTTCCAATTATCATCATCTAGGTTCTCATGGCCCAAGAAAACCCCAAGAACCTTAATTTTAACTGACGACTAGTCAAGGCCAACCAGCGGGTCAGAACGACTGGCCCAAGGGCCAAGCCAAAGACCTTGGACTTGGAGAGATTGAGCCTGGAGCCAGAACCTCGCTCATACACATCATAGACATTAAAACAAGCACTAATAGCATCATCAGAACACACGACAAGCGATGTGTCGTCAGCATACTGCGAAATTGGTGATATAGCGTCAGATTGTCCGGGGAGACAAAGGCCTTTAATACGTGGATTGGTACGAATGTTACACGCGAGCACTTCAGCAACAAGAAAATACAGAAGAGGAGACAAAGGGCAGCCCTGACGTACACCACAAGACAAAGAAGAGAAAGGAGGCAGATAACCATTGACATTAACGGAATTTTGAACGCCAGTATAAAACAGGTAGACCCACTGAAGAAAGGAAGTGCCAAACCCCGTTCGACAGAGAGTGGAATACATAAAAGACCAATCCACTCTATCAAAGGCCTTTTCCTGATCCAAAGACAAGATTGCCACTGGGGAGTCAAACATGGTGGCATAGGAGACCACATCACGGAGAAAGGCAACATTCTCCCCAATATACCTCCCCGGAACACCACAGGTCTGGTCCTCAGCAACCACCAGATGGATAACCTTCAGCAGTCTACCAGCAATGGCTTGTGCAGCAAGTTTATAATTAACATTCAAAAGAGATATGGGATGCCAGTTGTGCATATCTAATCAATCACCCTTTTTGAAAGACAAAGAAATACTCCCCCGATGTTGAGAGAGAGTCAAGGATCCAGCAACATAACAAGAATTAAGAACATCAACAAGATCCTGCCCAAGAACATGCCAAAGTTTGAGGTAAAACTCAGCCGGGAGACCGTCCCAAGCCCGGAGCCTTACGCTTAGCCATACCAGACAATGCTTGAAAACATTCCTCAACCGACAGTAAACCCTCGCGAGACTCCAACTGGGCGGGCGGCTAGGAGGACTCAACATTACTAAGAAGGGATTCCTGAGCAATGGGATCTGTAGGCTCAGCAGGAAAGACAGACAAATAGAAGGTAGAGAACGATGAACAAAGACCCTCAGGAGACCCTACAATTTGACCATCATCGTTACGCACAGCGGCAATCTAACAGGCAGATCCATGCTTGTTTTCGAGACGAAAGAAGTAAGAGCTGGAGGTGTCACCCTCCTCAATCCAGCGTGCCCGCGCACAAACTTGGGCCCCTTTTGCAACCTCCACATCTAAAGCAGCCAGCTGCTGGAGAACTGACTGGTAGGGCCCCACCAGAGACAAAACACCACTATCAACACGTTCTTTAAGGTGCGAAGCGAGCCTGGAAAGAAGGTCTGTCCACAGCATTGTCCGATGACTTGGCACAACAATAATTAATGGAGAGTTCCTTAATGCGGGACTTGCTTGCCTCCCACCACTTAGCTAAGGAGGGGAAACGCTCCTTCTGGTCACGCCAGCGGGACCAAAGAATTTCAATTTGACGGACATAATCCGACTCCTCCAGGATAGAGGTGTTTAGTTTCCACAACCTGGGACCCGGGGGAACAACATCCGGTACAGTGACACACAAAAGGACAGCACAATGGTCAGAGAAGGGACACAGAATAATTTCACACGACGAGACGGAGGGGACCCACACATACGGACAACCAACGAGGTCGATACGAGAGAAGACAGAGCCGTCCAGATGCATCCAAGTGTAACCTGAGGAGGAGGGATGTAGATATCGCCAGATATCAATGACACAGCTGTCATCAAACAGATGAGAGAGAGTGGAAGTACTATCCCTGGAGGTGTCAGAAACTACAGATCCAGTACGGTCAAGCGAACGATCAAAAACTGTGTTGAAATTGCCACATATGACAGTGGGCACTGCTGGATCGACCCAAGAGGAAACTTGATCAAGAAACTGGTCCCTTGCAGGGTTACGATTGGGCGCATACAAGGAGACAACACCAAACAATTTGCCTTGAAAACGGAACTCACACAGCACAAAACGACCAGCATCATCAGACGAAAAATTGACAAGGGACAGACAAGGGCGAAAAAGAATGATACAACCACAGGACTTTTGAGAACCAGGAGACACAACACAATGAAAGGCAGAAGAACGAAACCAGGACTGACACTAGACGTCACTAACACAGTGAGTCTCTTGGAGACAAACAAGAGACCAGCACGCTTGTCAGGATTCCTAATACCGTTTGTGTTTAATTGTATTATTGCTAAAGCCATGAAGAAAGAGGGTGGTTACTTCGCCTTGGAGCTTCGAGATCCACTAGAGCTCCTAGGAGGATTCGGAACATAACCAATGCTAGGAGGCAGAGCATGTGAACCAGAAGAGAGAGGCCGACTAGCAGAATAGGAACGTTTAGGAGATCTGCTGTGACTACGGTCGCGGTCATGATCAACAGCAACAGGCCTAGAAGTGCCGGGGGAAACAACAACAGCCGGCTTCTTTTTAGAAGAGCAAGGGGAGGGCACCATAGGCATAGCAAAAGAATTACTATCAACCGAATCAACAGAATCGGAATCAGTGTGTGACCGTTTTTGTGAATCAACCGCCAATTCCATCTTGCTGTTGTTTTCCCGACCAGGGAGAACACCCTGGCCAATATACTCTACATTATCATTAATATCACTTTCTTTACTATTATGTAACTTTCCATTATCACTATGTTTATTTCCATTCTTATCGGTAGTACCCTTGTCATTATCACTATGTTTATTTCCATTCATATTGCCATTACTAATATCATTATTGCTGCTAGAACTATTATTATCACTAGAATTAACTTTCTTTTTATTAAGTCCAACTCTAGACTTAAGTTTATCTAACAACCCAAGATTAGACGTGCTGTGAAGGGAGACCTGGCCAGGGGAGGGTGGGGAAGCAGAAGAGTCAGGACAGGCCGAATCAATGGTCACCCCGTGCAGCGAATCAGGGTCTGCAACAGACGAAGCAGAAGGGGTGAAAAGGGGCTGGCTGCTTAACTCATCCAGTTGGTTATCACGGCAATCCATAGACGATGAACCAGACGGAGGGGGTGAGGTCATCATCAGACTCGGAGTCGAGGTCAGCATCTGGTTGGGAGACCGAGGCAGGACCAGCAGCAGCAACTACAGCAGAAGACACGGACACCCCATCTAGGGAGTCGGCATCACCATCGGGCACAGCATCAGTCACGGGTGGATCGTTTCCGGCAGCAGAACGACCAGCAGCCTCCGCAGGGGTGGGGTCGGATGCATCCAGCACAGCATCACGGTCGCGATAGCCAACCTGCTGAGGTGCAGGCACGAGAGAAATGGCCCTCCGGCCCACATTGGAAGCACTTATCACGAAGGGGACAAGCTCGCGCAATGTGACCAGGCGCATGGCACAAATCACATACTTGCTGTTGACCAGCACAGGCAACTTTGACATTAACTTCAGCAATAGACAAATTACGCGGAATAGCCTGGCGGCGGATCATACGCGCAACACGCACCCCATCACTAACATCGGTCAAATGGGTCCAATGACGAAAGGGATTCTCTCAATAACCCCATAAGCCCTCAAAACACGACGAATGGATTATTCAGACCCCTCAACAGGATAATTATAAATAAGCACATTTTGCGCGCGGGGACCACCACCCCTAACCGCGCACTGAACACCACTAATGCTAATGGCCTGATGGTTGATAACCTCTTGCTTGCTGGGTTCAACAGCAAAGGTTACCTTAGCAGCCGTACCCACGAATTGTACTACGTGAATCTTAAGGTTCGCAAAATGATTTACAATAAGCTCGCAGACTTTCTTGCGGTCATTAGTTACGGCCAGCTGAGAAACATCCAAACTTACAGTGCAGTGAAATGCGCGCATAGCCATAGTCGAAAGAGCGAAAACAAGAAAAGCAAGGAAAGGAAACCCAACGGGGTTAAGCCCTGACAGGCGGGGAGAAAAAGGAGCGGGGCGACCCACAAAGAGGCCCAACCGCAAAAGAAAGGAACCAACAAATTAGGATAGACCCTGGTGGGCAACGTCCAACGGGGGATGGGGGGCCACCCAAGACCACTAAAAGTGGAACCGGGGGGGCAACCCTACTGCAAAGACAAGAAAGCAAAAAGTTACAAAGCTTGATCCGTGACCAGGAGAACGAAGCTACCAACCGGGAGCAGGTATACACGAAGGAAGGTACACGCCTAGCAGACCACAGCGACACTTTACTACAAGCGAGCGATTTTAGACCCAAACGGGTATTAGAACCGCGTCGCGAGCGTGATTTAAGTTTGAAAAGCTAGGACCAACGGCCAGCAGCGGAAAAACTGCTTTCCTCTTAGGGCCCTTGTGGTAACTGGGCAAGTCCAGACGGCCACAGGACTCCTGTTGTGTGACCGATGGCTCGCCTAAATAGAAGCCTGACTTGGGGGACACCAGTGAGCCACAGGGTACCCAGATGTTGAAAAAACAAGCAAAAGAAACAAAAATATGTCTCTTATTAATTGAATATTTCTTCCCCAAGGGGAAGTGGGCCGCACTCGGAGGTAGTGCTATACCGAGGCAGCCCGTGGCTGGGACAAGGCAAGCCTCCTTTCCACAGCCCAATTCCAAAAATCAGTTTAATATATGAGCTGCTCAATGAGTAGCGTATCAGATACTAAGCTGATAAGAACAGATTTTTTTTTTATACAAACCACAGACTTTATTCAGGTATAAACTCGCCTATTTACAGAAGAAACAACTACATAAACTTATACTAAATGGGATTATACTAGAAACAGAAAACAAGAATATCGTTTTGAATGATACAGAAGCCTGGGTCTACCCAGGTACACACGAATTTCCCCCGAGGGAGGTGGTGGAAGTCTAATTTTACTCTCCCCTTAATAGAATGGAGCGCATACTTAATGAGCGCAGAAGCATCTTCGCGACTGTTGTAAAAGGTGCTCTTATTGCGAAAAGTCCAGATTGAGTAAGCAATATTCTTGATAATAAAACGTGTGATAAGGCTCTTTTTAGCATCACATTAAAAGGCGAAGAAGAAAATAGTAAGCAGATTAACTAGGAATCGAGAACCAGTGACAGCGGAAAGGAGGGGACAAAAATGAGCCCAGACTCTTTTAGCACGAGGACAGTTAATAAAACAATGATCAATTGTCTCCCTCCGGCTGCATACCGCACACTGACTAGAACGTATATATCCCCAACGGTACAAAGCATCGCGAACTTTGGTATCCCGAAGGGTTATTAACCAAAAAAGATCATTAACACGATTATCACACAGAGAGTCCCTCACCTTGCCCCAGTGATTGTGAAGCGAGAAACCTGGGCCGAGGAAGGGGACCCATGCACACTGTAAAGAAGGCGGGGAAAAATTTTCATTCCGCGCGTTATAAATAGCCTTAGTAGTAAGGGGAATGAAGGTTAGGTATAGGCGCGATAGAATCGATATACAAGAGGAGTAAAAGCTAGTAGGATTTAAAGAATGAGGTGAAGAATTATCTCTCAGAGGCAACCATTGAGGGAGGAAACGAGCTAGGTGCCACCCGGCAAAATACTTACACAAAAAGAAACTGTTATCATCCGGAAAGTTAAGAGTAGCTACAAGAGATGAAATGCGTAGTGCTTCACATTTACAAGGAAAATTGGTGAGGCCGAGACCTCCCTCTTTAACACTACAAAAACACGATTTACGAGAAACAGTTTCGATTTTCGAACCCCATATAAAGGGCCACATAAGCTGGTTGCCTCTGCGAGGTACTCACTCAGGAAGTAAAAGAACGCGCGCTAGATAATAGAATTTACTAAGACCGATTACATTAACAATAAGACATTTACCTAAAAAAGAGAGAGAGCGGGATTTCCACAGATTAATAGATTTTTCAAACTTAGTTAACTTAGATGACCAATTATCTTGCTCAACAGGGACAACCCCAAACCATACCCCTAACACCTTCATTTTCTTAACCCAAGTGAGGCCAAGCGGCTCGTCCACGTGCGATCTCCACGCACCGAGGCACATGGCCTCTTTCTTGGAACGATTTAATTTTGCACCCGACCCTCTCTCATAAATTGAAACTAAATTAAATAATTGTACTAAAGAAGAAATATTCTTAAGAAAAGTGGTTGTGTCGTCTGCATACTGGCGGACACGGAAGTGTGCGCTGCCAGCACCCAGTAAAAGAAAACCAGAAATAAAAGGAGAAGAACAAATTTGAGAGGCCAAGACCTCTACACACAAAACATAAAGTAAGGGAGAGAGAGCGTTAAAGTAAGGGAGAGAGAGCGTCGCCTTGGCGAACACCTCTCTTTAATTCAATTTTGCCAGAAAGATATCCGTTAAGAATGATACGCATATTTGCGCCATTGTTAAGTGTGTGGACCCATTTAATGAAACTAGGTCCAAAACCTAAATGCTCTAAAAGGCGAAATAAAAAGGAATGTTTTACACGATCGAAAGCCTTTTCCTTATCTAGACTAACAAGAATGCCAGATTCATTCATTCGTTCAATATAATCTAGAACGTCGCGTAGTAAGGTGACATTAGAGGTAATCGAGTGACCAGGAACAGAACAAGTCTGATCCAGGTCAACAAGGCTACCTAAGACACGGGATAACCGCAAGGTAATAACCTTAGACAGAATTTTATAATCGGTGTTTAAAAGTGAAATAGGTCTCCCATTTTCTAAATCTTTAACGTCACCGCATTTTTTAAAAATCAAGCGTGTTACACTGGTTTGCAAGGATGCAGGTAAGCATTGATCTGTGAAACAGAAATTATACAAACGACACAACAAAGGAGCTAAGAGATGCCAAAATTTTAGGTAAAATTCTAAAGTAAACCCATCAGTCCCGGGAGATTTATTTAGGGACAAACTTTTAACGGGTTCGGCGAGTTCCTGAAGAGAAATAGGCCCATCGCAGGAAGAAGATTCAGCAGGAGTGAGCTTAGTATTCCATTGAAAAAATAAATGTTGTTGACAGGTCATGTCAACAGGTTCCTCAGAAAACAATTGAGTGTAAAACTCCACATGCACCTGGTCAAGGTCAGCATGGGAGGTTACCTCATTACCATTTGAATCATACATGGAAATTACCCGATTTTTCTCAATTCGTTCTTGTTCTAGACAGAAAAAATATCGAGAAGGCTTTTCGCCTTCCTCGATCCAACGGGCCCTACTTCTCATCTTGACTCCCTCTATTTCGAAACTAAATAAAGCAAACAAGCGCGCCTCTAGGGCGATGATCTCAGCCGAGGCTGAGGTATCACCCCGAACTAAACGCTGTTTGCATAAAATTAAACGATTAGTCAAATTAACCTTCTCGCGGTTTAATTCAGCGCTTATCCCTTGCAAAATCAATACACTCCTTTTTAAGAGAAAGTTTAAAAAACTCCCACCAATCCTTAAGCGAAGAAAAGCGAGCAAAACAACCTGCTAGATCAGTGATACGATTAGAGATATGATCACAAAAAACAGCATCAGTCAACACAGAATTATTAAATTTCCAGAGGCCCGGGCATTGAGGCAAAAAAATTGAAAGGTCAGCAACAAGATCGACAAGATCGTGATCAGAAAAACAACATGGACGAATAGACGAAGAGAGGATAAATTGCACGAAGCTATTGTATTGTAACTATTGAAATCACCACAAATGATTCTATGGCTAGCTGGCATAAGACGTGCAAATTTTCACAGAAGGAGTTGCGTTGAGCCGGATTAGTCGGAGCATAAATACCGAGGAGGTTAGTTAATTTGACTACCTAAATAATCAATTAACAAACTAATCACACAGCCACTTGAATCCTTACGCCATGAAAGACATTTGCCTTCGAAACGATGGTGAAACAAGGCACAAACACCGCCCTGTTTGCCGTTGGCCGGGGACCAAAAACTGGACCCGGACCAGCGAGCAGACAAGGATTTAATCTGACGGTCTTGAGAGATCAAGTTCTCCTGAAAGAATGCGACATCATAAGTAGAAACGAGATCAAAAATTAGATCGGCTTTCCAATCAAAGCCCCGGGAGTTTAGGGTCACTATCTGGAAGGTGAAAATTAAAGGATTCAAGTGACCGAGTCAGGATTGCCGTTACCATGATCAAGGGGGGGATAGGGCCGCAGAACCTGCAGCATCCCTACCAGCCCTCCCAGATGGCACAGGTGCCAGAGCAGTCACCATCCTATGTGGGGCTTGTAGCGATTCAGGCATCGGGGCCGGTTGACGACGGCCAGACAAACGGCGGGCAGAACGCACGGGTCCAAAGGAGGACGGCTCTCCCTGCTCGAGGGGGGCTGGGGCAGACTCTTCGGAGGAGAACAGGGGTTGGGATTCGACGTCCATCTCAGAGGCGGGGTTACCATGATCATCAGCGTTGAAAGTTTCACTATGCTTATCATCATCGTCATCAGAGCTAGAGCTGCTATCATCAACATCAGGATT